ATGACAGTAGCGCACACAAAATAGTATCTTTTCCGTGCTCCGGCGCGGTTAGCGCTCCAACCGGGCCGAGTGCGGCACGAAGCGCTCCCACTAGTCAAACGAACCAGGCTTTGAGGGACAAACGCCCTCAGGCACAGTTCAAAACGCATAGTGTGAGTACACCCTAAATGAATGACTGCTGGTCTAAACGTTCTTTTGAAGCTTGAAGCTTTAGTCCTTATTTATCATAACTGTCTGTAAAAGAACTACCAGCAAATTCTTCCAGGTTTCACTTTTCATGACATGAGTAAGTGATTAAAGTTTTAATTTTCCACGGAACTCTCTTTAATCAATAAGTTGACCAAAAATACGCTACAGTCAAGTAGTCATCTGAATGCTAAAAGGGTCCCAATTCTCTGTGTGGGAGGGTTACCTGTAGGAACTGCGTTTGCTGCTGGGCAAGCTGAGCCTGGGCCTGTCCTTGCTGTTGGGCGGTTCCTGTAGCTGTCTGTGACTGTGTCTGAGCCTGCTGCTCCTGCATATGCGCAGATGGCTGCTGGGCGATGCTGATTGTTTGAGCCTGGCCCTGCTGCGGGGCAAACGCAGTCACTACCTGCCCCATGAACATGGTGGTAGGCACCATAACTGCACCACACGCCATTGGGCCGGTTACTAGCTTAGTGAGGAGCTGTGGGGTAGCAGGGAACCTGTGGGAGGCAGGACAACAGGTTATTAGTTAGCTTTGTTATGAGTTTCTGTTGGGATCAGTTGTACCATGACATGGTCAGGAGTCCCCAGGCATTTTCAAAGAATGTTTTATTGTTCATTAGTAAATAACCAATAGGTTGTTATAGCCTGCAAATAAGCTATATTTATAAAAAGGAAATGGAGGAGACATGAGATTAATGATTCTTTGATTCTTTTATAGTATTCTAATGTGCTTATTTAACTGGGTACGTGCACTTCATGTTTATAATGAGGCAAAGTTTCAGTGCTTCAGTGCGATAGTGTTTCATGTACCGTATCTGACGGTCTTGTGAGAAGGTGGCAACCGCGGCTCCGCTCGTGCTGCTGTTCTGGGCTAGGCTTGTGGGGA